CATGCACTTTCTTTTTTATAGGCCGGTCTTTACGACAAACTACCCATGGTGGTTTGGCCCAGAATCCGGGCTTTGTTTTCAACATTTTTTATTTCTTATAAGTTTTTTTTATATCATTATGAATTTCTGATATTATAAGTATGCTTTTCTGTAAATCTGAATGCTTTTCAAATAGTATTTACTAGTTTTATGTTATAGCATGTGTATACAGGGAGTTTTGATAAATTATTAAAAATGGGTCAAATATTTTATTTCATCCATCGATGGAGTTTATGGTTCCTAGGACGAAATCTTAAAGAAAAACATAAAAAGAAAATGCAGCGTTGGTGAAAAAAAAAACTTTGAGACTTAATTTGTGTGGTTCTCTTAGATTCATAATTGACCAATTGTAAATCAAGAAATCATAGCACACAAACCCATATCTGAAGATGGATCCAACGATGTGAAATCATGCCACGTATGCCTCTGAACTCGACATTGTTTGGCATGTATTATTACAAGGAAACATAGAACGATTATTATATTCAAAGAATGTCCTAATGCATTATGATTTATGCATGAGAGATCAAATATTAAAATCCCACTTTTTTATTTTATTTAAAAATAAATAAAAATGGAGGCAAATAAAAGGGGATGTTTGGATGTTGAATGTAGACAAGAATTGAACTCGTTTTGGAACTTGAAGCCTCTTGGTCGATTTTCTCCCAAATCTTTATTTATTATTACTTACAAAAGCTAAAATCTTATTGGCTTCTAGGATCTGCTTCCATTCAAGTATTTCAAGACTTCTTCAAAACCACTTTGCCTCCGGCCATCACCCCTCCACCGCCTCCACTACCAGTCTACCACCACCTGCTGTCCTTCTCTTTCCATAACAACCACCATCATCATGAAGGTGAGATATATGACATTTTCTGTAGGTTATGATCACTTTCATGTTTAATTTGCGAACTCATTTTATTTGTTCTTTTCATCTTCTTACAGTTTATCAGTTGGATGCAAAGTAAAATTAATGGCGGACAAGGGTGTAAGAACACTAATACTCCTCGTAAGTAACCTTTCTCTTTCTTTCATGTCTTTTAATTAGGCACACAATGTTTCCTTTTTTTAATCTGTAGTTATTTGAGAAACCCTTTAAAGATTTAAAAAGATGGAAGCTTGAATTAATTTGGAATGCATATGTTGTTGTTGTAGATCACACGAAGCACGAACCCCAAAAAGAAGAATTTAGTGATTGGCCACAGGGATTGCTAACAATAGGAACATTTGGAAACAATGATCTACCAATTGAAAATGAAGAAATTCAAGAAACTCGAGGTACAGAAACAATATCATCTCCAGATCTTTCTGAATTCACACCTGAAGAAATCGGGAAACTACAGAACGAGTTAACAAAACTCCTGTCAAAGAAACCGGCTGCTTATACACAAGAAGCCATTGATCTCCCATTGGATAGATTTCTAAATTGCCCTTCAAGCTTAGAAGTTGATCGTAGACTTTCTCTCACAGTTAATGATCATGACGAAAACAATAAAGAGGAAGATATTGATCGAACGATTAGAGTTATTCTTGGTAGGTGCAAGGATATTTGCATGAATAACAGTAGTAAGAAAGCAATCGGGAAGAAATCAATTTCTTTCATTTTCAAGAAGATGTTCGCATGCAGCAGTGGCTTTCCAGCAATTCCTACTTTACGTGATCCGCTTCCAGAATCAAAAATGGAGAAGGTAATCAATCAATCAATCAATCTTGTTAATTCAATTTATCTCTCTTTTTTTTTTGTTTCTGATTACGATTCTGATGATTACAGCTGTTAAGAGCTATGCTTAAGAACAAGATCAACCCGCAAAACTCTTCTCAATCATCATCAAGAACGAGGTTCATCGAAGGAAAACGACAACCCAAGAAAGTGAAAGTTACAGAGAATAATGAAAAAGATGGGTCGAAATGGGTGAAAACCGATTCTGAATGTGAGTGCTTTTACATTTAGAAAGTCTAGTACTTGTTTTGAGTTATAAGCTCGTGAAAAAGAGTATTGATGATGTTGATTTAATTTTGCAGTTATTGTTCTTGAGATATGAAGTCGATCCTGTGTTACTAAAATCTGTAAAGATCTCCTGACATGATGATGTATCGTTTTCTTGGTGATGTATTTTTAAGGTAAAATTTGCCTTGTTTTTTTTTCTCACGAGAAGGATGGATGACCAAAAGTTGAGATCTTGTAAAATGTAAAGGAAAGGCATCATATAGAAGAAGAAGGCTACCCTTCTTACTCTGTTTGCTTTTTTCATGCTTGTATCCATTTTCATGGCTGCAAATGCATGTTATGTCTTGTTTTGTTTTTATAATATTGGACTATTTGTTATAATTAGGAGAAAATACTTTATATGAGTTTGTACTTTGTATGTATATAGCATATGAATAAAGTTAATAAAAATTGTTATTTATCGACCTGTCTATATGAAATGGACCCCAAATTTAAAACAAGTAGATTATACAAATGATTTGAGGTAAAGTTCATAATATTATTTAATGATCTTGAAAGTTATAAGGAAATGGCCTTATAAGAACAGTTTCATTTTTAGACAGGGGCAATCAAATTTCAAAATTGTAAATCATATCAAAAGAACCTTTAACAATACCAAACCAAGGGCATCCACAACATCTTTGGCACATCAACCATTAAAAATATATAAAACTTTGCTCTTTAAAATCCATAACCCATTAAACAACTATTCAATCCCAATTACCATCTTATTCATCCCATTGAATGGATGCATGATTAATGCATTTAATACAACATGAAATCATATTCAATCTTAATCACCACCTTTGCTCTTTCATGTCATCATTCACACTCCACTGAAATCATATTCAATCTTAATCACCACCTTTTTAACTTCTATTAAAATTGCATTATTAATGCATTTAATACAACATGATTAACAGAAGCTAAAACATACAAGAATAGAAAGTATGGACATATAGAAGGAATTCTATCCAAGTAAGGTCACAGAAAGCTAAAAGATGCAATGTTCAAACATGGTATGAGATAAAAATCAAAATATTATTCAATAACTTTAAAAGTGATATTGACAAAATTTTATATATTTTATTACATCATTAATTCTAGGGCTGCCAAAATTGTACCATGGAAAACCAACCAACATGTTACCAACCAAACTAAGAAACTTGGTAGCCAATACATTTGGTAGCCAATACATTTGGTAGCCAACATGTTTGGTTGGTAGTACCGTACCAATTGATCAATGTTG